GATTCGCCATCCCAGGCAAGGGGGGGCGGGGGGAAGCGGCCCAGCCCGAGGGATGTGCTGGCCGCGGCTTCCCGCCGCCCCCATTGGACCGGGATGGCGAATCGCAGCCAGTGGGGCCGCGATCGGCCGAACCTGCCGCGTCAGCAGGTAAATAAACTGGCCCGGCCCGCTAGGGTGATTACCCTGGCGAGCCACGTGCCGAACGTTGCCGACCCCTGCTATATGGCATTCTTCCTTGCAGAAAAGTTATTTGCAAATCAGAACTGGAAGCTTTAGAAAACACCTATTCCAGAAAAAAACCAAGCTATCCCAAAAGATATCATAATTTTCAGCATTTTCAACAGAAATGCCAAAGACAGAATAAGCATATATACCTATCTCATAGAACTGGAAGGGACCTTGAAAGATGATTCAGTCCAGTCCCCTGCCTTCACTAGCAGGACAGAATACTGTCCCTAACAGGGTGTTGGTTTGTTTTGTTTTGTTTTCCTGATCCCTAAATGGTCCCCTCATGGATTGAGCTCACAACCCTAGGTTTAGCAGGCCAATGCTCAAACAACTGAGCTATCCCTCCCCCAAGCTGTCCCTCCCCCAAGCATGTAGAGTTAACTCCCCTCTCAGGGTTAGACATAGTTATCAGAGGTAAAAATGTCTGTGCCCTGTATACACACCGCTTTCAACATTGCTATTACCAGAGGAGTTGATTTGGTGCAGAATTACATGTCTGATTTGTCCTGATTGTTGGTACCTAGTTTATTGTGAAGGCCCAGACCAGGCAGGATGAGAGAAACAGGTATGGCAACTCTCTAGCCTGTATCTATCATGTGGAAGGACTACAATCTTCAGGGCTGCCAAACAGGCAAGAACCTATAATCAGTACTAAACATATACTATAAATAAAAAATGAGGTATCATGCTGAGTGCTCCTCTCCCATGAATTGTAAATTTTAAAAAAGATTTTCTATGATGTTATTCATAATGGTATTCAGGATTTTCCCAAATAATCCAGAAAAAAATGCATCTATAAAAACTCATTCTTCTGCACTTCTTTTATAACACAAATGGAGAAATGAAGGTTGTGGGCAATATTATCTGTAGTAGCTGGAATATCCTTAGCAGGAAGAAAAAATGTGATGAACGCAATAGTAAATTAGTATAGCTAATACTAGGAGCAGCACGAAAAACATTTACTTCAATCAGTAAACTCAGGTAACCACAGAGGAAAACAGACTTGATAACCTGAAGTCTTTGAGTAGGGAACCAAGCTTTACATAATTTTAATACATATTGTACTCTGGAAGGACAAAAACTATTTTTGCCTACAATTATGTCACAGGTTACATTTTCTGTCTAAAAAGCAATTTTGTCAACTAACTTATTCCAGATAAGGAAGGTTTTACAAGTTTGTTTCTATTTTATGGATAAGTAGTTTTAGTTCAATATACACTAAAACAAACCCTGTAATATTGTTTTACCATAACCAGTATCAGTTCTTAGAGAAACTGTAGAAAAATAACTGGATTATGTTACCAGTTGACTTTCCCATCTTTTTAAATCAGGCAATTTCTTCCATGTGTTGTCTACTTCTTTACTATGTCCCAGAATATTGTAGAAAAAAAATCTTAACCACTCTGCTTTAAAAAGGTTTGACCCTTCCTGTTTTATGGCATAAAGAAAAAACCTCTATTCTGAAGGGGGAAAAAAACCAACAATATCCATTCCTGTAAAAAAAAAGGGTGTCTGAGGCAGCTGATCTAACTTCACAGTTACCCTGGTAACATTGTTTACCTCCTCTGCCTGCCATGAAAATTGCCTACAGTTGCCACAGAAAAAAGTTTGTTTTGACAGACCATCAATGGCCATATGTTAGAGTTCCTTTAGCATGATACCAACATTTTACATTGTCACATGCAGCAGATTATCTTGAACAGATTTATACCATTATGCTTTCAAGAATCAAATCCAAAAGAATACAAACTGGTTACCACATTACATGATGGCATAGATTGGCAGATGATATGCTGCCAAACACAATTTTCCTTAATTTCATTCCATATTGAAAAGTCAAAGTCACATAGATAATGCATCAGAAACAAATATCAAATCAATACTCGTGTTTACGCGATTAATTACCTAGCTTCTCAGAAAAGGAAAGTATAGTAACAGTCCTGCAATTAAATCCACACACACTAAAACTGAACATACTAAATAATGCAGGGAAAAAAGTGGATTCACAGACTTGGACTTCCATTTTAACAGATATGTTTAATTTGCAGCTTTAGGACACCCAGATACTGATTCTCCTCCCAGTGAAATCAATTGCAGGCCTTCCACTGACTTCATGGCAGTGGGATTAGACCCCATGTGATCTTTTTAACCAGATTACTTATGCTCAAGTACAACATAAACCTAACTATACAATCAATGTCCTTGTAGTCACATATGAATTACTACATGTTTTTCCAATTCTGGTATAAAATAAATGTTAGATGCACCAAATAATGACAATATATAAATCTTTTCTCTCCATCCAGATCCTTTACAATTTCAATTTAGCATTGCTAAAATTGCAAATACATGGACCAATTTAGCCAAAAACAAGCTATTTGCATCCACAATGCACTGGAATCATGAAGCCTTGCACTTGTTTCCAGTTACACCAAATTTACAAATAAACTTAAAGAGAAAGAGAATAAACAAGGACATTAAAAATGTAGTCCAACCAAGTCTAATAATCTCAAGTGCTATACAACAAATTATGGATGTAAGTCTCTTAATTATCCCATGAGGCTTTAATAAGATTTAAATACTGTGGAATGACACAGGTAGTAGAGAAGGAAGTTATAGCATTAACATTTTCCTTAGGCATTATTCTTTTTATTTTTAGCAAGGAAACAAAACAAAACCAGTGTTAGAACAATTTAAACCAAGATACCCAGCTGATATTCAGATTAGGCAATTATTTGCCCTGCTGACAGATAACTAATGAGGGGAAAGGAAATAGGAAGAGTGAGGGGAAGAAGGGGGAGTAGGAGTCTTATCTGCAGCTACCACTATAGATTGTTACACTTTTCCGAACAGCTTTAGTGTTTAATCCCATTAAAAGGGATGCATTATTCCCACAGAAATGGAGACCATAACAACCACCACCAAAACAACAACAAAACAAGGGAAGAAAAATATCTGGAAGCAGCCAGTTTATAAATTTTTATGCAAATACTTTATGCATGAGAAGTTACCAGTGTATCAGTTTAACAAATCACGGCATGTCAGAGAGAGGCACACAAAGCTCCTCAGGATTTCTACAGAAGCTGTACGGCTTCGAAGCGATTTACAAGCACCAGCTGAGCAGAGCTCAGACCCACAGGGAAGTTGTCCGCCAACTTTGGGAACAAGTCCCGGACCAACATTTTCAAACTCGGGGACCTGAAGTCGAGCACCTAAATCCAGAGCTAGCAGCCCGACTTTCAGGCGTGCTGAGGACCCACCGCTCCCCAGTCCCAGCCCCCTGGCCTGAGCGAGGGGACTCGGAAGGGACGCACAGGGCCCAGGGCACGTGGAGCAGGGCTTGGCCAGGCAGTTCGAGAGAGGCGAGGGAGGGTAAACAATGAGGGCAGGGTGCCCCTGGGCGGGGGGGAGGGGCTCAGAAAGATGGGGGCAGGGCAGGTGCCCCTGGGGGACGAGAGATCTGGGGGACAGGGTGCTCCGGGAACGGGCCTGGGGCAGGGTGCCCCCAGGGAGTGGGGCAGCAGTGAGGCGGGGGACAGGGTGCCCCTGGGAGGAGAGGTTTGGGAGCAGGGTGCCCCCGGGGAGGGGGGCAGTGGAGAGTGGGGCAGGGTACCCCTGGGAGGAGAGGTTTGGGAGCAGGGTGCCCCCAGGGAGGGGGGCAGTGATGTGGGGGGCAGGGTGCCCCAGGGAAGGGAGGTCAGTGAGGCGGGGGGCAGGGTACCCCCGGCGAGGAGAGGTTTGGGGGGCAGGGTGCCCCGGGGAGGAGAGGTCAGTGAGGCGGGGGGCAGGGTACCCCTGGGGAGGAGAGGTTTGGGGGCAGGGGGCCCCCAGGGAAGGGAGGTCAGTGAGGTGGGGGGCAGGGTACCCCTGGGGAGGGGAGGTTTGGGGGGCAGGGGAGCCCCCAGGGAAGGGAGGTCAGTGAGGCGGGGTGCAGGGTGCCCCCGGGGAAGGGAGGTTTGGGGGCAGGGTGCCCCTAGGGAGGGGGGCAGTGAGGCAGGGTGCCCCCAGGGAGTGGGAGGTCAGTGAGGCGGGGGGCAGGGTACCCCCGGGGAGGAGAGGTTTGGGGGCAGGGGGCCCCCAGGGAAGGGAGGTCAGTGAGGCGGGGGGCAGGGTGCCCCTGGGGAGGGGGGCAGTGAGGCGAGGGGCAGGGTGCCCCCAGGGAAGGAAGGTCAGTGAGGCGGGGGGCAGGGTGCCCCTGGGGAGGGGGGCAGTGACGCGGGGGGCAGGGTGCCCCCGGGGAAGGAAGGTCAGTGAGGCGGGGGGCAGGGTACCCCTGGGGAGGGGGGCCTGGGTGCCCTGTGGGGGGCGGGGTCCCGCGGGGGTCCAGTCCATGGCGCCCTCGAGGGGCGGGAGCTGAGACAGCTGGGCCCCTCCCCCCAGAGCGAGTCTCAGCGGGTCCAAGCCCCGAAGGGCCCAGCCCCCCCCCCGCGGAGCCCCCACCTGCGTCCTGGGCGTGCGGGCTCCTCTGCCCCAGCGCGGCGCCTCCTCCCGCGGGCGCACAGCGCAGCCTAACCTGCTGCCGGAGCCGACCGCTCGCTCGCGCACCACGAGAGCCCGCCCCGCCCGGCCGGGCCCCGCGCGCAGCCCAACCTGCTGCCTGCCCCACGGGAGGAACCGAGGGACGCGCCTCTGTTACCATGGTGACCGCGAGCTCGGCGAGGCGGCCCCCCAGCGGCGGGCGGGGCAGCGCTCCTCCACCTGCAGCGCGGCG